TTGGGCCAGAAGGGGCACTTATTGGAGATTCTCAGATTTGAAAGGGGGAGGCAAGGCACTTGAACCGGCTTACTGGGCAGGGGTTTAGGCATATGGGCCGCCAGCTCAAACCACTGAGCTAACTGGTGGCCCATTAGCAGCTCATTTTGTGCATTTGAAATTATTATTTGTTCTAGAAAATGTCGGGGGAAAAAATAGTGAAAATTACTAGTTTTGTCCAACAAACAGCCCAAATGTATTTATTTTACTGTCAAAGAAGATAAAGAAATACAAGAGAAGCTCCTAAGGGAGAAACTGAAGCAATGAATGTTTGGCTTTTTATTTGTATTTCAGTGATTAATCATTTACTAAAGTTTTTCAATTCAACTTCTCTTTCCTTTTGCTGAAAACATATTTCGCCAAAGAGAATTGAATAGTTAACGAAAATATCCAATGACACGTGGACAGGGTGTAGCATTTGTAGTTTTAAGGGTGGCATAAAAAGAAAAAAACACAACTCCCAGATTTAAAGTAATCCCATTCATGATTTCTGCATAAATTAGTAATTTTCTGAACCATACGATTTAACATTTCTGTTCTGACTGCATCCCAGAAGTGTTGATTCAACTCTATGCTAATTTTTAGAAGTGTTGCATTGCATCCATTTCCTGCTAATCCTAATATATGATCACACAACAGAGTAACACAAAGTGACATGTTCGTCTGCTTCAGGCTGCACGCTCGCTTGTGAAAGATTTTCATTTTTCTTGCTTGGACTGCACTGGGAAGAATATACTGCCAATCACAAAGAGTGCAGAGGCACAAGAGAGATGGCATAAGAAGTCACGTTTACTTCTGAGTACAGAATGACAAAAAAGAGGGCACTGTAATTATAGGCGCCATGTTTTGCCACATCATTTTAATTTCACAGCCGTTTCTTGAACTTTCAAGGGTATTTTGCCCTGGACGCACAGTGTCAAAACGTGCCACTCAGACAACAAATATTGTCAGCGTGTCCATTATGCTTGGCAATTATAATGAGCCATGTCAGGGAGGGTGTTATCCCTTTCTATCCCTATGAAGTGCCTCCACTCCATCACTAAGAAACAGTTCAGCAAACCCATCACACCAGGAGCTACACAGAGGATTAACAGAAATATACAAGTGACACATTTCAGAAAACAACAAAGAAAGCTTGTTCCCCAAAGCGACATCTCAGCTCACCAGGAGGACGCTTCTACTGCGGCTTTATGATGGCCATCATTCATACAAAAATAGGAAGATAAAGCAAGTGAATGGAGCTGTGAGGAGCACAGAGACAGGTGGCATGTGGGAGAGCCAAAGACTCCTGCCAGTCACCCCCGAGAGAGGGTGGGAGGAAGGCGGGAGAGGGTGGATGAGGTGAGGAGCAAGGGCAAACAAAAAGGGGGAAACTGTGAAGGAGAGATAGAGGGGAGGGTAAGAAAGATGGAGAGGGATGAAAGACATGTGGTTGCAATGACTATGGAGACAGAAGGAAGGAGGGAGTGAGAGGGAAGAGAGGAGAGATTGAAGAACAGATGGATTTTTATAAAAAGAGGTGGGAGATAGAAGGCAACAGAGGGAGAAAGAAGAGGAGGAAAGGTAAGAGTGATGGATCAATGTAGGGCATCAAAAACAGAATTGAGCATAGGGGACTTAGGGGAGGCAAAGACAAGAGCGAGAGAAATAGAGAAAGAGAGAGGGAGAGAGAGGGAGAGGAGGAAGAGGGGATAGGATAGGTGATGCAGACCTCAGATGCCAAGCACATAAACAGAAAATCATAGCCTTTACCTTGGACTTCTAATAGAAGTGCTCGGGTCTTGATAGATTGAGTGGGGAAGTTCATGAGATCTTTCTAGAGGGTTATCAAGAATAACTTTTATCCAATGACCTTTTCCCTCTCTGTCTGTGTATTCTCTTGTTCCGATTAACCCAGCCAAATCTTTTTTCTTGTTTTGTATCTATATCTACGCTGGGAACCGGAGTCGAGGCAGATCCTCTTGCTGTAGTCCTGTGTCTTGGATCCTCTATCCCGAGTTCTGGATTAAGTCGTGGACGTTTCGGGTCATGGCTGAACCTGTCTCTGCGGTCCTGCCTTGGGTCTCGCCATGCTGCTTCCCTGATGGCTTCCTCAGGATTGTAGCTGACATCCTCGTGGATTCATCTTCTTATTACAGACACATGCATTTCCTAACATTCGGTCTATATGCTGTAAAATGTATTATCTCTTTGATTTACACACGGCATCTATTGCACGTCTGTCCGTCCTGGGAGAGGGATCCCTCCTCTGTTGCTCTCCCTGAGGTTTCTCCCATTTTTTCCCCTTAAACTGTGGGTTTTTCTCTGGAAGTGTTTCCTTGTACGATGTGAGGGTCTAAGGACAGAGGGTCTAAGGACAGAGGGTGTTGTTTTTCCTCATACTGATATTCTGAACAATCTGTGCTGTTGTATTTGCTGTAAAGTGTCTCTACTGTAGGCTAATTTTATTATATGTACAGCACTTTGGCTCGACCAAAAATCGTTTATAAATGTGCTATATAAATACAACTTTATTTGATTTGATAGAGGTGCATGTGTGTGTGTGTGTGTGTGTGTGTGTGTGTGTGTGTGTGTGTGTGTGTGTGTGTGACACCAGCTCTGCATGAGGTGAGTGACGGGCATGAATATTTAAAGCCTCTTGCCGTCGCCGAGGTGATGGCTATCAGCACGTCAGTCCTGCTGCAGATCCATTCACAGCTGCTGCCTTATTGGCACAATTAGACAGGGATAGGGCTCAGATTAATTGAACTGGCTCTCCATTGAATCCCTCCAGAGCCTACAGGTCTCTCATCGGGATCACAGCGTGCTCTATTCCTCTGAGTGATGACAAGCTGAAGCGCTATTGGCAGCCGTGCACACACTCTACAGTAAAGTCGCCACCCGTGTGCTTTGACCGGCCACATGATGATTCATTGCTTTATTGAGTCGCCAACATAGCTGAACACACTGTAGGAATTTGAGTCCGCACAGGGCTAGAATCAAACACTGTGCTCAAATACATACTGTGTAAGATATACAAAAATACATCCAACATTGAGGCAGATAACTATTGAAAATATAATAATAAACCCCAGATTTGCTGTGCTGATACCCAGACATGAAGCTAACCTGTTGTACTTCTATAAAGTGCAGATGCTTCAGAGTTAAAGGCTTTAAAGTGAATTTAAGACCAACATTATATGTAAGACCTATGGATTTTAAAATGGTGTTATGAATCTCCAATCTTGCCTTAAACTTTGTAATAAGGTGTGTGGAAATGTTTTTTTGCAAAGCAGGAAGTATGAAAGTAGAAGAACAGTACCCTCTCCTGGCCTAGGGAACAGGATGAGATCTTACTCACAATCAGCAGCAGGTTTAGAGATGCATCTGTGTTTTTAAGACATCCATACACAAACTTGGGAACAAAAGTATTTAAGTGAATCAACACTAACAAGGTTAGTTACAGGGGAACAAATATTCAGAAAGGTCTTTTTTTCATGTATATTCTGTGAGTTTAACAGCAGAAGGTTGGCGTTTTCACCGTGAAGCTTTCAGCTGTGAATGTGTTAAAACAGCTGAAGAACGGAACAACTGCTAAATCATTGCCCAGATAAATGCAGGCTGAAGAACACTGCTTTTATTAAAGCATTGTCAAGTGTTTACTTAAACTGGCCCTTTTGTGTTCTGTCTAATAAGTAAAATAAATATGCATTAAGAAATATTTATATAAAGCTATTAGGGAATAAGTACACTCTAAAACGCTTTCAATCTGCTATTCAAAATCTTCTTTAATTTAATAACTTATTGACATGTCCATCTGCATGGTGCATTTTAAAGCAACACATGTAGGCCTACACTGGTTGGAGATGCTTTCTACCTTTAATGCCAAGTCAGGGCACTGGAAAGGGAAACTTTCTCTTTCTAACCCTTTCTATGGAACTCAGCACCAAGCCGATGGGTTTTTAAAGAAGACATTCATCTCAAGAAATGGGTCACAAATACATGGTGAAGTTAAAAAGGTAAAAAAAACAACAACTGGGTACTTTTTAGTTAACATTATTCAAAGAGGAGTGTAGAGGACATTGGTCGGGTCGATCAATATACAGAGGGTTCTTTAGTGAGTATTTATGGTAAAGTGGACATGTTGGTTATGCAGATGTCATCCAATGCAAAAGTGTGGCTCGTTGATGCGGTTTTCAATAGTTTGTGTGCAAAAAAAATTCATATCTCAAAATAAGTTATATCAGGCTAGAACCATAGCTGTTAATGGGACTTTTTGACAATGGGGAAACTAAAGGATATTACCAACCTTTTCCTTTAAAGAGTAGTACTCTGAATGTTAATGATTTTTCAAATTGATATTGCATAAATATTCGGTGTTTTTCTGTTTTAGAAAAGTCAATCTTATGCTCACACTGCAAAGTTGACATGCCAGAAATCCATCAGATGGTCAATGAGCCTGACCGTAGATCCGATGTTTTGACTAACCTCGAACTTCACATTAAATGTCATCCAGCAGACATTCAGCCTAAATTATTCAGGGGCGATCACTTTAGGCTGATATTGGTCTTAATCTATAACGTGTCCACCTAAATTAACTTCCATTATATCAAGACAATGACATGGTGCTTACAAATGTGCGACTAATCTAACAAATACAAACCTGGTTAGGCCAGGGCTTGGTGTCAGTTACACTGGGAATAAATATTGTGCCATTTTTTATTAAAAGTTGAAATATTCAAAAAATGTAATAGTCGATCTTCATTTTTGCGGGGAAAACTTATAATCCTACGACTTAAATATGTTAGACGTCAAAATAAGTGAAATATAATTAATGTTTACATTAGAGTGGTAAGTCTAGTCCACCTTCAGTGGAAATGGTCATTTTATTTCTCACATGATAAATAATATCTAATACTAATGCACTATTTTTTCGACTGCAAAAACAGTATCAGTGTATTCCTGGTGTGTGGGTTGCATACCTCCTCCTGGTCCAACATGTAGCTCTGATTTCCGGGGTTCACACTGAGATGGGGGTTCCAGCGGTCTTGGGATGAACGGTCGTGTGAGGGGCGCTCGTAGACGGGACGCTCGTGCGGGGTAAGTTTGAACGAGGGAGGGTCGAAGGATGGACGGTCGAAGGAAGGCCGGTTGAAGGAGGGACGGTTGAAGGAAGGACGGTTGAGGGGCGGACGTTCGTAGGCGGGACGTTCGTGAACGGGACGGTCGTACGAGGGAGCGTGGAAGGAGTGGGCTTGGGAGCGATGATGGTGATGATGATAGGAGGGGGGGACGGCACACCTTGCATCTGGAAAGGAGAGAAGGAGGAGGGGGGAGGAAGGGAGAAAAAGGAGAGAGAGGGAGGACAGATAAGCTCAGTTAGGATCATGTGTAGGAGGGCTGCGATGCTGCGACACACGTCTGTCCTCATAGTGAGAGTGTTTTTGATAGGTCAGCGTGAAAGACGTCATCAGTTATAACAAGACTATGCAGAACAAACCTGATGAGGTGTTAAACAGTAATTCAATTCATCTTTTTTATAGAGCTTGACTTGTTGAGATTCACTAAGACAAGACAAAACAGGCCTTAGAGACTACAGCAATACCTAAGTAAGGCAGCACGTCACATTCAGGACATGATTAGCTTAGATGATCTAATTGTATCCTGGGAACGGGGCAACAGCTAGCCAACACATAATCACAACTTTATGCAAACAAGTTTACCACAAACACAAATGAGAACAAAAATACAGTTTCTCTTATTTTCTGCAATAAAGAGGATAAACAAATATTAAGCTAATCTTTAAAAAAGGGTCAAACATAAACTGCTGATCCTCATTGTTACAAAGGGAAATATATGTTTAGCTTGTCCATGTTTCCCATGACCTCAATACCATGAGAGGAGAAATAAGTGTTACTAGGTGGAACAAAGCAAAGATACTTTTGGAAACTCAATACTCTTTTTTTCTTTGACATTTATATATTTGAAGAAAGGACTCGTTGGTGATCCTGCCAACCCCCATTTGCATGTGAAATTGAGTTTCCATCTCTGTTACTGTGTCAAGAAACGGCTGAAAGATTATAATTGTCTAATTGAACGAGTCCTAGATCCGGCTCACAACCAAAATCTAATCATCTGTTCCTTCGCCCAGGGCTGTCCTGTCCACCAAAATGAACAGAAATCTGTTTTGAGGTGCCTGAGACATCCTGAAGACGGACTAAACTATAATCTTCTCGGTTGGGGTACAAACATATCTTTAACAGTATACCCAACTTTGAGAATCAATCAAGAACATGTGGGGAGGGGGGGATGTAATCCAATCCAATCCAACTTTATTTATATAGCACTTTAAAACCTTCAGACCAAAGTGCTGTACAGAGAGATACGCTCACAAAACATAAAATAAATACATTTGAAATAAAGGATACAAACACAAAACAAACCAGAATAAACGTAATAATAATTTAAAAAAACAGCCATAATTAAAAAAAACAGTCATAATAAAAATAAATGAAATTTGAGAGCCATCTTTCGTGGGAATCTCAGAAATCACACTGCATTGGAGACATTAATATGGACTTGTTTCCCCAAAGTATCTGTTTCAGTTCTTTAGTGAAAAATGTGTGGCTAGAGACCTTTGGTAAATGAGGTACTTCGTCTTTTCTTTCTTGGCTGCTGTCAGAGCTTTCTGGCCTTATTGCACTGCTTTAACTTATGTTTTAACTTAAGGAATCACGACATAGGCACAGAATAATAACCAAGCTTTTACTAGTCGTACAATTTAATTAATGTAAACAGTATTCGTGTCCACTGGTAACACCTTTCTTTAGGTCACAATTCTCTTTCTCTGTGACTTTTAAAATGTCTAAATGGCTTCTTCTAATGCATCTGTTGTTCTTATATAGACATGGCATTTCCTCTCCCTCCTTTTAAGACTCCTTATGTATCATCCCTGGTTAAGCTTGAGATATCTTTATTTATTTCCCATGAAGCGAAAAACAACAGCAGCATCTCCGACATCAGCTTCAGAATAGGCCACTGAGCATTTTATAGTTTTCAGCTATGACTACAAAAGCAAACGTCTTGAGGCAGTTCTCTCACTATCCTGTCTGATGCTTGAATTCAAAGACCATCCACTGTTTCAGACACAGTCCACTGGAACATGGCTGGAAACAGGGGGGGGAATCAATCGCATTGGCGTAACACTTTATTTAATATTCAAAAAAAGATTAAAGAATCTCCCAGATTTAAGGCAAATCACCACTCCACCAACATTAAGAATACATGTGCTGGGCCAGAGGGAGAATAATTAATACTGGGGTATAAGAGTTAAGAAAGACTGCTGTGTGTGTGTGTGTGTGTGTGTGTGTGTGTGTGTGTGTGTGTGTGTTTCCCCCAGGAGAACTCATACCTCATGCACCGATGAAAAGCCAAATTTAAACATGCAACATTTGCTGGGTGTATTTAAAGGTGGGAACACACACTTACTTTAAGTCAAGTATAGAGAACTGATGTTTATTTGACCCTCTATTTGATATGGTGACTGACTCATCCTCTCCCTTTATAATAAGCCAGAAACAGTCACCTATGACCCATAATGCAACACTACAGCATGTCATAAGCCATTATTTTACTGCATCGTCACTTCTCAGATTCTTCCAGACAGTTGACGTCCTCAGCCAGAGCGGTAAACCACAACAGGAAATTGTCTAATTGTGGCAAAATAACAACTGAGGTGATCTTTCGAGTTACTTTTTGAATTATGGATCGAGCTGCTTGAATATAGATGAGCTCCTAAACAAGCACGGCTAATTAATATGGGTGATTTCAGAAAAGGAAAGGAGCGAAGCATGTAGAGCTGGTTCATGATTTTCACCTAATTTTCATCTCACTGAGGAAGGGAGATGTTTGGTGTTTTGATAATGGCAGATAAATGGATAAGGCAAATGGATGATGTTTTTGTGATGTGGGATAATCACTTTAAACACCCAGCCAGCTTTTGTTCAGTCACAAAAAGTTGCAAGTATACAGATACATTTTTTGTTGTGGATGTTGTAAAAAATGATATGATTTAATATAAATTATCAGGGGGACAAAAACTCAAAGCTATGAATATGGGCCATAATGATGGAGTATTATTATTATTACTCTGTCTTTGGGTCTGCACAATTGTAAAAGATAGTCAAAGGATATTTAACTGGGTAAGACTGACGCTTTTAGGACAATATAATAGCCTATACTGTATGTTTAATTCGTTTTTCTTATCTAGAACACCTTCCCTGGGTTAATCCCGCGGTTTAGGGATAATTTACTACAAATTGCTTACATTATGGATTAAGCTTCTAAACTTTTGGTATATTACAAATCCAAAAACAGAGAAACATGTACATAACAATATCTGAAGACATACGGTGATGTCATTAAATGTTATGTCTTGGTCAAACAAAAGGTCTAAAACCCCTAAATACTCCACATACTTTCATCTAGGACCCTGAACGGCAGCTATTTCTCACATTTAAAAATCTGATTCCATCCAATGTTTTGGCATTTTTCTGAAAAGTGCTAAAATTATAAATGTTCTTCCAATTGATTAAATTATGAATTGTTGTAGCACTAGTCCCAACAACTTTGAGAGCCCACAATATTATATACATTTCAGTTTCACCTGTTCTATGTAAATACATTTATGGATATTTCAACATAAGGGTGTATTTCTTTCCTGGAAAGTGATACTTATGGAAGGAACATCTTGTCCATCTCATTTGATGTTAACTTTGTTGGTCACAGATGAATAAGCCAGGATACTGACAAAAAAAGAAATACATACTGTGGAATGCTGTGTGATATATTGTCAAGATTATGACTGGAATGGATGCGTCTCATCACAATTTCTGTCACGACCATGCATAAACAGCTGAAAAAGCATTTCAGGGTACAAGGCTTTACACTCTATTAATATGCTCTGAGCCGTTATGTTGCACAGTGGGTTGTTGGAAAATGTTATCTTCAAAGCCTACATGGCAAACTATTTTTGTTGCGAAGGGAAATTGTAAAAGTGTTATAGCTTGCATCAAACTAAATGCTCTAGTTGTGAGCACTCACATATATTTGCATTAGAAGGGGACAGGCAGTTATGGTGATCCATCACTGTCGAGTTTAATACCTTGTTCTTCATGGTGGATGCGTGTGTCGACTGTAAAAGCAGATCTGATAGATGCTCAGTAAGTGCACTATGAATTGTTGGTCACCATCACAGGGTTTCAGATTAAGCACTCTGTGGCATGCTATCCCTTCCTCCAAAAAGCACCTAAGCCCTTGAATCCAAACTCCGTGAGTGTGCAGAGCAAAGTCATGATGCTGAGATATTCACTGGAGGATAGCAGCGTGAGTCATCCACAGTCCAATCTGCACTACTCTACAGTAGGCCTACCTCTCCACCCCCGAGGCTGCCTATTAAGGGCCTGTGAAGCGCAGTGGACAGAATTTCAATGAGCCGACTCATTCTTCTGTCCGTCCGTCCATACGGACAGGGTGCACACATACTTTACAGTAACGATCTCGCACAAGCAGAAATGCTGAGATGCCTCTTTTCTTCCCTCATCTTCCTTTACCTAACTCCATCCTTCATTCACTTTCCATGCTCGGCTCTATGTTTCCCTTGCTCTGCCTTTGTTCCTCTCTCTCCTTCCCTCTCTCTCTCTCTCTCCATGGGCTCTTTACATTTTTCTGCCATCCTTAGCAGTTTATAAAGAAGAGGCCCATGCACCAATCGGATGACTGGTCAGCCTTAGTCAACGTTGTCATTACTGGAACCCGACTGACCTAATGTTGATTCATACACATCGCTGAGCTCCAAAACAGAGCTAAAAATAAAGCTTGCAATATCCCTGGGCCGCCCGGGGCAGATAATGTACTCCTGCAAGCACGGCGCATCTTACTTTCTAGGCAAGAAAAGCACCACACAGTGCACATGTCATCACTGTGACCTCAGCTGCACCAGTATCAAACAGTATCGCCTTCAAAATGGATCACTGGGAAACGCACCGACAGAAACCAGCTGTTTTTTAAGAATGAATATATGGAAGGTAGTGAGAATAGATGCAGCGCTGGAATTTGACAAGCTGTGAGTCAGAGTGGTGCATATGTGCAGTACAGTAGGCTGCTGTCAGTGCTGAGTCAAGGGGGGATGTCAAGTGTCAGCAGCGGGGTCACAGAGGCTCAGAAGTACAAGGATGTTGCTGAACAAGCACATTGGTCATGCCCTCAACTTCTACTCTATGCTGCAAAGGAGAAACTCCACCCTATTAA